GGATACACTCTTGGATCCTTGCAGGCATTGAAACAATAAGTGCTTGAATGTCTTGTTGGGGTATCTCTCTCCATGCCTGCACAACTTGTGCAATCAGTTGTTGTATAGTGTACACTGGATGGCTATGAGATGTAATCCATCTACCCATGGCATCCCAGACATGCTCTATAGGGGATAAATCTGGAGACTGGGCAGGCCAATCCATGATTGCAACACTTTGCGAGGCCTGTCATGTGATGGCAGCAGCATGAGGACGGGCATTATTTTGTTGGAGGATACCGTTTTGGGTGGTGTTCACGAAAGGTATGACTACTGGATGGATCACCCTGTACACATACTGGCGGGAGATCATTGCACCTTCAACAACCACCAACTCGGTCCTGCTGTTGTAACTGATTGCCCTCCAAACCATGACACCAGAAGTTGGACCTGAGTGGCATTCTGAAATCACAGCAGGGTGGGCTCTTTCTCCAGCACGCCAGCGGACATGTTGCCGACTATCACATTGGCCTAAACAGAATTGGGATTCATCACTAAACACAATTGTACACTATTCACGTGTTCAATTACGTCTAGCAGCATACCACGTTAGCCATTATTGGCGATGAAATCTGGTTAAGGGAACACATTGAATGGTGGTTTGAGATCTCAGCCCAGCATCAAGCAATCGGTTTACAATTGTCCATGGGTTGACTCTGGCAGTAACTACTGCTTAGATCTGTGCTGTCATCACACATCTGTCAGCAACTGCCATCCGCACATTATGGCGGTCTACACATGGTGTTGTCCTTCTGCATGGACCTGTGCCTTCCTGCATCCATCGTGCAATCACTCTTTGTATTGTCATTGCACTGCAGCCAGTCCTTCAGGCAATGTCACGATATGATGCTCCCATTTCTGACATGCCAATTATCCGACCTCTTTCAAAGTCAGACATTTGGGTGTACGGAGTTCTCACTCATTGATATAGCTTAGCTGGTCACCAACAACATGTGGACCAAATTTCCACTTTCGTTCATTTCCACTGGCAGACATGTTTGTTTCAAGTCTTGTGATGATGTAGTAAGTACTACACCATCACAAGACTTGAAACAAACATGACAGCGTACAGACAACAACTACACCATAGATTCACACAACAATATCCTCACCTCACTGTCACTGAACAAAGGGTTGTTGATCAAAAAAGAACAATTATACACAACAACCTTATCCCTCAAACAGGTGCTGATCAAATATGTCAACGGACAGAAACTTTTAACATTAATGAAGATCACATAACTTGTCAGGATAATCCAGCAACAAGCATTGATTATAGCACACACACGACGACTACCACTAATGATAATACACTCCCTCATCCACCACTGATAACATAGACATAGATTAAGTTAATATGCTCTCACTTATATTTCAGGAAACATTCACTAAATATACAGATACTGTACACAAAGACCACAAAGACATTTCCATTTCAAATACTCACAATATACAAAACACATTCACTGAAAAAATTAGCAAGTACACAAAACTCGCCCAGGAAATAAGACATCTGTGGAGGATGGATAGGGTGCTTATTGTACTGTACCTGTCATACTTTCCTCTACAGCTGTCTTACCCCACACACTACATTACAATTGAATAGAAATACATACATCACACTACAAAAGGCCACTATATTGAATACATGTCATATTGTTAGGAAATTTCTGAATACAGACACACACACTGACAAACTTATTTCATTTTTGTCTTGTTTTGGTTGCTATGCCTTGACTCTGGTCTGACATAGTACATAGCCACCTGTGTAAAACAAGTATAGCCGACTAAACCAACATAATAATATCTACTTATATCACTTACAATGGCTAAAATAATAAAGTAATCTCTCTTTTTATGTATATCTTATGTACTCGTTTTTGGTCATTTTAACAATTTTACTGAGGTATTTTATTACATATTGAAATTTTATAGCTTCTGCTGCTTTCTTTATGAGCATTTTTCTTTTTATGATTGTTTTAATTAAATTTATGTTATCGTTGGCACAGCATGGTCCGTGAGGCCCTTGTGCCATTAAACACTATTGAACCAACCATATAACTTTGCAAAGACCTGACCACTAACTTTTCCCTTCCTTTCAAACACACAAAAAGCCTTCCTTTCAAACACACAAAAAGAATGGTGGCATCCCAACTCAACCAAATGTACAATTTTGACAAAAAAAATGCCATCTTTAATTCATTTCATGAAAACTATGTGGGAGTTAAAATGGCACATAACCAGGGGCATGCAAATGTATTCTTATTTGTTTAAGGAATTAAAAATTCAGTCATTCAAGTACCCTATTTAACTCTATAATCTTCTGTGTCAGATATAGAGAAGTTTCAAATTGACATCACGAGTGATGTCATGAGCATGTGCCATTTTTGTGATTTATTTATGTTTTGTATTTAAGCATGCTTTAGCTGGAATTAGTGTTGTTTATTCGTTGCAAATATCACTATGGTAAATTGTTTTGTAATTGGGTGTAATGCTAGCTCACTCAAGAACAAAGGAATGTCACTTTTTAAAATTCCTGGCATTATTTGTCATCAAGGCCATGAAACTGAGGAGCTTCCACAACAAAGGCAATCTGCATGTCTCTTGGGAATTAACCAGAAAAATTTCATTACAAATAAAGTGAATATCAATACAAGAGTTTGTCAGAAACATTTCATTTCAGGTAAGCAATAAATAAGATTAGTAGTCATCAATAAATGATTAGATAAACTTTTGCATGAGTAGCATAAAGTGTGTACAAGCTGCATAAATCCTTTTGTTAATTTACCCCTTCCTTACCAATTAATATCAACAAAAAAGTTAAATAATTTCAACAACTGCAGATATTAATTTGAATAGATAATAATTGTGTCTTAACTTTATTTTTCACCTTTCAATTTGTTTTTTTAGTGTATGCTTTTATTAATATTAACTCCACTGTATATTTATTACAAGTGTTAAGGAAATTTAATCGCTTAGCAGATGAATTAGAAATCCATTTTGAACCAATTGTTGTTCAAATCTGATTTACATAAATAAAAGTGTGTATTTTTTAAGATGTAAACCAATAATTTCTATTGATCACTTACAAATAGCTAAGTTAGGCTAGGTTATTTTGGTGAACAACATTAACATTTCTTTAGGATGCTACTTTTTACAATGCTTTTTTTACATTAGTAACAAATAATCATTACATAGTAACTTTCAAGTTGTTCCTGACAAATTCTTATTTATTATTTATATATAACATACCATAATAAGCTATTTAAATATTAACAATTACTATTAAGCAATTATTAATATAGATAAAATTATAATTTAATATTAAATTGTCATAGTAATTATTGAAAAGTTCTTTTTACCCAAAGGAAAGCTTTCCTTATTGTATGATGAGTCATCACCAGAGTGGATGATGACTCATCATATACATGGGGTATGAGAGTGGCCACAACTCAACTGCATATGAGGAGTGTTACGAAAGAGCACGTAATCAGGAGAAATCCAGCCACTTACAAGTGGCTGGATTTCTGATCATTCTTGATAGTCATGGGCCTCTAAAGATTTGTAAGCTTTCATTTCTGAAAGTCTAGTAATTTGTCGTCAAAACCATAAACTTTATGATGTCACCAAATTCTACTTGAGGCCACAACTCTTGAACGACAATGACGATGCTGGCTTCCTTGACATAATGAAACTCTCTCTTCATATAAAACGTCTCGCCTTGTCAGACTGCGAGAATAGCCTGCCAGAAGATATTTTTTTTTAACTATGTCCATGATATAAAAATGCAGTTCTATTCAGGGCTGTATTGGTAAAAATACCAGTCCGTATACTCTGGTCGATGTATACTTCTGGTGAAGGGACAGAGTAAACGTGCGTTTAATCACGTGACATGCAACCTTGAAACCTTTCTATATAAATTCTAAAAAAAAATAAATTTAAATGAATTCTGTAATGTTTACAATGACGAGCGCACCCAAGCTGACATTTTGCGAAACGTAATTTTGTCTGTACCGAGCCTTATTAAAATTTCCATTTGATGATGATCATAAGTTTCCAACTACATATATAAATCAATCAAATATTCCCATTCTGCATGTATTCTTACACTCAATAATTTACTTGTTTTTTTATACCTTTCCTTAATTGGTGTGGCGACAGCTTTGGCGATAAACTCCAAAGTCGCCACAAGGGGGAACCCCTGAACTGAACAAACCTGACCTATGACATCACACATTCTTGTTGGATTTGGACCTCTCCAGACGCGTGTAGTATCATTCCGTGTTTTAACCTGTACAGTCGCGCCATAATTCATATATAGAATAAATGCTAATCTTTTATTGTATGTGGCCCTGTTTGTAATGATTAATTTTACATGAACTGGTGACCACAAACTGGTGAGCCGAATGTGACATATGTTTTATGGTGCCTCTACCCGACGAAGGACTCTATCGTGCGACATGAAAATTCCATCCATTTGCATCGGATACAACGTTGAACTTTTATCCTTTTTTGGAACTGCCAACTCATAAAGCTAGACCTTCGAAACGTGTAACCACGGATAATTTTTCGTCGACGGTCGACCTTTTCAACGAAAAGGTATAGTACACCACGTGCTACCCTTCTTTGTTCTTGCGCCACGTGCCATCCTTCGTTCCCTCGCTATGTGCCTTTACATGCCATCGTTCTTTGTCCTTTCCCCACGTGCTGAACTGCGCGCACAATGCATCATTTAAGGATAACTACCTCGCACTGCCACATCTACGTAAAAAAAAAATCATTATGGCTGAGGCAGAAATTAATGACGATCACCGTCACATAGCACGCGTTGCGATCAGACCCTCACCCTTCTGGAAGGGCAACCCTAACTTATGGTTTGCTCAGTTGGAAGCATAATTTTCGATAAATAACATAACCATCGACGACACCAAATTTAAACACGTCGTTGCTGCAATAGAGCCGGAAATTTTAAATTCGGTGCAGGACCTAATCCTCAACCCGCCCAACCAGAATAAATTTTCCACGCTAAAGGCTCGTCTCATTGACGTCTATTCGGAGAGCGAGACCTCCAAAATCAGAACGCTTCTTCAAGGGTTGGAACTGGGAGACCAACGTCCATCCTTCCTATTATCACGGATGCGCGACTTGGCCGGAAACCATTTTAGCGAAGACCTGCTACAATCTCTCTGGCTGTCGAGACTTCCTCATAACGTACAGGCCATTTTAGCCGCATCTAAGGAAAAACTCCAACAACAGGCCGCCATGGCCGACAAGATAATGGAATTAGTCTCCCCCGCTCACATTCAAACGGTCGAACATGACCTTGCCACTATCTCCACCTTGAAGAACCAGGTTGCGGAATTAGCCCAGCAGGTCAAGAACCTCACATTATCCATCAACAACCAACGCCGCTCCTTCACACGTTCTGATTACCCTCCCAACAACAGGAGGCGCCGCAGCAAATCGCGGCAGAATCAACAGCACAGCACCCTCCACAACGGCATGTGTTACTACCACGCTACCTTCGGGGAGCAGGCGAGAAAATGCAAAGCCCCTTGCTCCTTCCGACCGTCGGAAAACTGACTAGGCGGGCGCTTACGGCCAGAAGCCTCACCCGCCACATCGATCGAATCACCATGGCCGACCCTACTACGAAATACAAATTCCTAATTGACACAGGCGCCGACATCTCCGTTATCCCAAAAAGTTCTAACATGTATTTATGCAAACCCGACAAGCTAGTCCTCTTTGCTGCAAACGGAACGCCTATTTCAACTTACGGAACAAAACTATTAACACTCAACTTTAACTTAAAGCGGAATTTTTCGTGGCCATTTGTAATCGCCGACGTAACCCAACCCATCATAGGAATCGACTTCTTAACTAAATTCAACCTACTGGTGGACGTTAAAAACAATCGACTAATCGATGGAGTCACGCAACTAAAGTCTCCTGGTTGCTGGCAGAACCGACCTACAACTGTCACTAACATCACCGCTGTGACTAATGACTCTCCCTACCACCGTATCATGGCCGAGTTCACTACCATCACAAATCCGTCGATAATCCCCGAAACCAAGAAAACGCCAACCACCTTTCATCACATCGAGACTAAAGGACCACCTGTCTTCTCAAAACCCAGACGATTACCACCACATACGCTCCGAGCAGCACAGGAAGAATTTCGGTTCTTAATGTCCCAAGGCATCATCAGACCATCCAAAAGCCCCTGGGCCAGCCCACTACACATGGTCAAGAAGGCAAATGGCCAGTGGCGACCATGCGGCGACTACCGTCGTCTCAACGCTGTAACAGTCCCTGACCGCTACCCTGTTCCTCATATACAGGACTGTACTCAACTCCTAGAAGGCAAAACCATTTTTTCCACCCTGGATCTAACCCGCGCCTATCACCAAATACCGGTCTTCCCCGAGGACATTCCGAAAACAGCCATAACAACCCCGTTTGGCTTGTTCGAATACATCTATATGCCTTTCGGTCTACGAAACGCTGGTCAAACCTTCCAGCGATACATCCACCAAGTCCTACTTGGCCTCGACTTCTGCATCCCGTATTTCGACGATATATTGGTCGCGTCCAAAGATGCGGACGAACACACAGACCATCTCCGCCAAACGTTCCTCCGCTTGCAAGAGCACGGCCTAAAACTAAATCCATCCAAATGCATCCTCGGAAAATCTGCAGTTCCATTCCTCGGCTGCATGATTACATCATCCGGAGTTAAACCTTTGCCATCAAAAACCAAAGCCATCAACGATTTTCCTCAACCAAAAACTGTAGCTGAGCTCCGTCGCTTCTTAGCCATGCTCAATTTTTATAGACGTTTTTTGCCAAATGCAGCCCAAACTCAGGCCCCACTACTCGAATTTCTCAAGGACTCCACAAAAAATGATAAACGCATCATCTCCTGGAACGAATCTGCTCTAAAGTCCTTCAACCAATGTAAAGCAGATCTCTCAAATGCAACGACTCTGGCATACTATTCGTCACATGACAATCTCTCCCTAATGGTAGACGCATCTAATGTCGCCATCGGCGCTGTACTCCAAACCCATACCGCCGAAGGAACTCGTCCACTAGCCTTCTTTTCACGGAAACTAACGCCTACCGAAATAAAGTACAGCACCTACGACAGGGAACTGCTGGCTATATACTCCGCGATCAAGCACTTCCGCCATACCATCGAAGGTCGAGACTTTGTCATCTTTACGGACCATCGCCCCCTCACCTTCGCTTTTCGCCAAAAACCAGAATCTTGCTCCCCACGTCAGCTGCGACATCTCGATTACATTGCGCAGTTCAGCACCAACATCAGGCACGTCACTGGCTCGAACAACATCGTAGCAGACACTCTCTCTCGGATCAACGAGATTCGACTTCCCGTGACAGACTTTACCGCCATTGCGGAAGCTCAAGCAAACGACGACGAGCTAACCGCACTCCTCACGGACGATAAAACAGCACTCACGCTACAGCCACTTCGAATCAGCCCGTCACTACAACTATATTGTGACACCAAGGACAGCAAAGTTCGCCCATATATACCACTCCAATTTCGCCGTCGAATCTTCTCTTCCATGCACAATCTGGCCCATCCAGGAATTCGTGCAACGAGGCGTCTTGTCCAAGAACGTTTCGTGTGGCCTTCGATGCAGAAAGACATCGCCAATTGGACCCGTTCCTGCATTAACTGCCAACGGTCCAAAGTGAATCGGCACACCAACAGCCCTCTTCAGAGATTCGACCTCCCATCCAATCGGTTTTCACATGTGCATCTCGACCTCGTCGGACCACTCCCGCCTTCAAATGGATCTACCTATCTACTCACCTGCATAGATAGATTCACGAGGTGGCCGGAAGCTGTTCCCCTCCACGACATTTCTGCTGAAACAGTCGCTCGCACTTTTGTCTCACATTGGATCTCCAGATTCGGTGTTCCCTCCATCATCACAACCGATCAAGGCCGACAATTCCAGTCTCATCTGTTCGCCTCACTGACAGCTATGTTGGGCATCCAACACATACGTACAACACCATACCATCCATCAGCCAATGGTTTAGTTGAACGATTCCATCGTTTGCTAAAACAGGCTCTCAGATGCCACGAACAACACTGGACGGAATCTCTCCCAATCGTCCTATTTGGCCTTCAATCAGCTTTAAAAGAAGACATCAATGGCACTTGTGCCGAGATGGTGTATGGCACAACCCTTCGTCTCCCGGCAGAGTTCTTCCATCCTTTGCAGGAACCGCCAGCAGACCCATCATCCTTCCTCCATCACCTACGGTCCACAATGCAGTCGCTTACGCTGACTCCAACATCTGCACATGTCAAACCTTCACACTTCGTCCATCCAGCACTCGACACCTGCTCCCACGTGTTTGTGCGAAAAGAAGGTCATAGAACTTCTCTGACCTCCCTTTACAATAGACCCTTCCCAGTTACCGTGCGGACACCCAAGCACTTCACGATCCTAGTCAATGGAAAAACGAGAAAGGTCGACATCGTTCGACTGAAGCCAGCATTTCTGGACAGCGAGAACGCCAGCACATCGTCAAACTCGTCCAGGACAACACATCCAGACTCCCCAGAGCGACCAAGGACAAACACTTCTAATAACTCCGTGCCTACCAACACGACGACGACACGTTCTGGAAGAAGAGTCAGGTTCAACCCCCGGTACCTTTAACTTCGTACTTACGGCGACAGCTTTGGTGATAAACTCCAAAGTCGCCACAAGGGGGAACCCCTGAACTGAACAAACCTGACCTATGACATCACACATTCTTGTTGGATTTGGACCTCTCCAGACGCGTGTAGTATCGTTCCGTGTTTTAATCTGTACAGTTGCGCCATAATTCATATATAGAATAAATGCTAATCTTTTATTGTATGTGGCCCTGTTTGTAATGATTAATTTCACACGAACTGGTGACCACAATTGGGTTAGCATTCTTGCTCTGATATCAAGAGAACAGGTAATTAACGAAAATAATTTCCAGTATTTTGATATATTTATTTATGTTTAATTAATGTGGAATGTTTAAACATTATTAACTTATAAAATGAGAATCGGCACGTAAAGCAGGCAATGCGACAGGCCACAATTATGCCCAATATGGCGATCCTGTGAAAGAACGTGGAGTGAACAAAAATAATAATTATATGCTATTATATATTTACCATTATATATATATATATATATATATAGGATTTGTCGAAGTTGTTAGACAAATTATTTGCAACTTACGTTTATACATATTTCTGATGAAATTCAGCAATTATTACTGAACTGCTACATTAATAGAATATTATAGGATGTAGATTTAATATTCAATAGCAAATTGATACACAGTTTATCTTTATTTAAGTACAAATTAAACAAGCAGGAACTTAAAAATGAAAAATATTTATTAAATTGTTATATTTAAATTGTATTTGAGTTTAGCCCTTTTCAATAAGGACTGTACGGTGCTTGACGACTTCTACGTGGTCTCCTCGTTGGTCTGTGTCCAAAAGGATCCCTTCGAGAACATATTCTTCCACCTCCTCGAAGCCTCTTGGGTGATCGGTTTGCGAGTCCTGGTAGATTCGTTCTTTTCGGTGTTATCTTAATTCGTCTTCGTCTAAGGCCATAGCACTCTCGACGGATTCTTTCTCTGCAAATTCAACATAGACAAAACCTTTCGGTTTACTGGAGTGCTTATGGCATAAAATCGTTACCCGATCTATCGAGCCGCAGCCACAGAAATGAAGTTCCAAGTCATGAGCAGTGGCTTCGTAGTCGACGAAAATTGATCTTCCATCGGCTTCTACTTTTTCTCGAAGCGACGGATAACTTGGTGGAGTAAATTGCCGCTGAATTTCTCTTATTCTCTTTGCTTCTCTGGTCTTCACACACGAATCTTCGACTGTAGCTAGTAGTGGTTTGTCGTTATTTCTTGCGTCTGCCATTTTGATAAAATATTCTCATTGTTGAAGGCACCAAGGTAGAGGAATCTAAACGTATACCCACTCTTGACCTGAAGCAAGTAGAGATTTCAATGACACGCGACGTTTATATAAGCTATAAGCCTGTTCCGGGAATACCAGGATTTCCGGTTGCTGGGTTCGTATTGGTTGATTGTAATAGAAACCCGCCAATAGGAAATTGTTAAGAAGCGGTTTCAATCCATCACAAACAATTGAGAGGTTGCTACTTGCTGAAGTACATCTTTAATTAATCACTTTAAAAAACAAATAATGAAAATCATGTAAAAAATAATTTTCAATCAAATATAAATTTAGACTTGCTTAGGATAAAAAGCCTTAACTTTTAATTTTTACTTTTATAACGTTTTANATTTACTTGTTTTTTTATACCTTTCCTTAATTGGTGTGGCGACAGCTTTGGCGATAAACTCCAAAGTCGCCACAAGGGGGAACCCCTGAACTGAACAAACCTGACCTATGACATCACACATTCTTGTTGGATTTGGACCTCTCCAGACGCGTGTAGTATCATTCCGTGTTTTAACCTGTACAGTCGCGCCATAATTCATATATAGAATAAATGCTAATCTTTTATTGTATGTGGCCCTGTTTGTAATGATTA